TAAGATTCTCCACCCAATTAAGACATATTAAGGAGAAAATAAGAATCGACAGCGGGTCAGCTAAAAAAACAAAACAAACAAACAGAAAAACACGCTTAATGAGGGGCAGGAATTTGTGTTTTGTTTTTTTAAACACACTGACTGGCCATACCTTCAAAACCAAAAATTTGAACTTCATTCTTAACAGGTTGTAGCATTCATGCTGGGGACAGGGCCATGGCACTTGGTTATTAACAGGTAACACAGCCACAAAGTAGTCAGGTTGTGGATCCCACTGTGTTCTTTACTTGAACGTACTGCTTTTTAAGCATTCAGTGTATTCTTGTGGCTCCTAAACTCCCTGAGGATGGAACCACATTTTGCGTGATTCTGCACTCCTCCAGCTCCCTCACCCCTAAATACCATGCTTAGTACCCCCAAATGCCAGCCAGCATTTATTGAGGTTTATGGTGTGCTAGGCTCTTTGCTGGTGGTCTTATTTAATTTACACACTAAGCCCATGAGGTGTGTATGAGTTGTCCCCATTGTCGAGGTGAGGAAAGCAGTTCAAGGAGGTTAGGCATGTTCTGTGACCACAGCTAGAAAGGGATATGGCTGAGATCTGAATAGAGTTGTGTAGGATTCCAGTCATGCTCTTATACTATGCCAAAACCTTCCAGCACATTTAACGACATCCATAGACATCCAGCCTTGCTTTACATTGAAACTGCATTGGTTTGTCACTGACTTGCCCTTCAGAAGAGACAGATATTTTCCATCTTCGGAACAGATAATTTCATACAAGCTACTGACAAAATTTGTGATCAGGATCCTAATGTGTGTCAATTGGCTCCTTGATAGAACTTTGATTCCTGTTTGAGGAGCACGCAAAGCCACCAGCTGCTTTCTTGCCTTTTCTAGTCCCGTCTCTGACAGGTGACTGATGACTTTAATTCCTTAGGGCCAGTAGAAGAATGCTATCAAATGTCTGATAAGAGTGATGAAGAAACTACCATTTATTAAGCATTTATTATGTCCTGGGGCCAAGCAAGGTGGTTTATGTATATCTTCTCATACAATTTTTTTAAGTCCTCACAATAGCCCTCCAAGATAGATATTTTTAACCAGCATTTTACATATGTGGAAACTGTGGCTCAGAAAAGCCAAGTGACTCTCCAGCTAGGCCATACAGCTAGTCAGTAGCAGAAACGAATCCAAATCCATGTTTTTTTCATCTCCAAAGCTTTTGCTCTTACACGGTTACTTAGGATGAGTTATTTTGATCCTGGAAATGGGAGAAAACAAAACATATTATGCACACAAAACTATCCCTTGATTAGCTATTACTGGGCCATGGTATTCCCCACAAATGGTAATCTATGCATAACAAAATAAAGCCTCAGATCAGAAGGGGCTTATATAACTTCTTACTGATACAGTATATACAACTTGCCAGTGTACATAAAGAACTCTATGTTTTCCAGACCCATCAGAAACTTGGCAAAATGATATTCTACAAAGTATCTCTCATAAAAACAAAACTAAAGTGCTAATTGGATTCAATGTGGTTAAGCTAAAAATAGAGTAATCCGACTCATAAACCCAAGTAAATCATTTCAATCCAAATCTCACTTTTTAATAGTGCGCAGACTGAAGTATTTATGACGCTAACTACATTGTATAACATCGAGTTCTGTATCCTCAAAAGACTCTAAGTACTATCATCCTATTCCTACCTCTAGGCAAAAATTTAACTGGTCCCAGGAAAATTTAAACTCATTTCTGCAAAACTCTCCCCCTGCTTACAACCTCTAAGATACTTCCAAGCCCAGACTAAAAGAGCTCATTTCATGGGGAAGAAGATTCCTTTCTTCCTCTGACCTCAACGTTCACAGAGCTGGATTGTAGCTCAAAATAAAATTAGATTTTGGAAGGAAGCAAGTTTAAGATATTATGTAGAAAAACCTTGGCAACAAGATTCCTGTCATATCATAGTCTTAAAGCCTAAGAATTTTATCTGAAAGACTGGCTGTATAGTGACTTAAAAAAAAAAATACCACAAACACTTTCTGAAATTGAAGAAGGCATTTATAATCCTAAGTGCCCTTAGTTAGTAAATCAATTTATGAAAATGAGTAATGTAAGCCTCTTTAGTATCAAGTTGGATTTTTTCTCTAATACCCTCTGTTAAAAAGAAAAACCAACAGAAGCCAAATTAAATGAAATCAAAGTGCATTTAACACAATGTCCTCTAAATTCATGGTAACAACTGTTACCACACAAAAAGATTCCAAGCAAGAGTCTGTAAGTAGCAACAATGAACAAATGAATGCTTCTTACTGCGAGATAAGGAACTAAGTACTATGGAATAATGATCTAACCAGGAAGTCCAGGTGTTTGTCATAATGTGCATCGAAATCAACCCCAGATAGAATTATCTAAGAAGGTGTAAAATGGTGATGGCACTTGATCAATAAATGTTCTCAGTGTTACTACTACTACCACCACCAGTAATTTTAGAGGAGCTGCCACTTTCTGCAAATAAAAATCCTCTCAGGGAAGGTGTTCAAATGACCTATCAGCCTTTACAGGTTTTTATAAACTACAGTATTTCTTTACTAACATCTCAGATCGGTCACTCTGAGGAACTGTTTTTAACAGTGTCGGGAAGGGAAGAGAAAGTGATTTCAGGGTCAAGGAACAGTGGCAAACCATGTTGGTTTGCAGAGAGGCTCTGGGAAGCCAAGGGCATTAGTTGCATAGGACACCTGAGTCAGGAGCAATGCAGACAGGGAGAATGGGGAACAGGGGAAGCCTGCCTTCAGACAAGCTCTGAAATACGCACAGAAAATCAAGTCTAATCTCAGAGCTATGTTATTTTTGAAAACAAATTAATATTTTTAACAGTTCTAAATTCCATAGAAGAGTGTGTTTATCTTTATTTATATAAGTGACTTGTGTTTATATATGATGTGACAAATGTGAATGTCTTTTGGAGACATGGTATTTGAATTTAAGTTTAAAGAAATTTCTTTCCCAAAGAGGGTTGGCATAGCAGTGCTGTAAGTATTGGTCTATAGAGTCCATATATATAAAGTATAAAAGCTGACAAATAAAGAGGAATAATTATGTACAAAAAAGGAAAGGCATTAGCTCAAGCAGAATTGCTCATAAGGGAACCAAGGACTTTGCTATTATCAGCCAAAGAGGCTCCCCTGGATGAATCAATAAGTGTAAGGTCCAGAAAGGAAATATTGGTTTCCCTTTTTAAACAGTACAAAAGGCCAAGAAGCTTTAGAACTAAATAAACCAGGCTCAACCTGATGATACTGTACTAAAAGCAAAGTCACAGATATTTACATTCAGTCCAAATCAAACCTAATATTAGAACTGAAACAAATAGTTGTCTCAGTCAGATTTCAGTTTCCAAAAAGAGAGACATCACTTGCAACTACTAGGTTAGTGCTAAGCTCTGTGACAGGCCCCCCAATGCATGTTAGGAGACTGAGTCTACAGAATAGCTGGGTCCCTACCTTCCAGAAAGCCATGGAATCTGGGGGTATGTGGGGGGTTGAGGAGTGGAGGCTGAGGCTGATTCCAAAGAGCAGTCATACACTCAGTACTTCGGGCAACTACCTCTAAAGGCACAGATTTTTACAGCAGTCCATCTCAGTCCACTGGCCAGAAGTTATTAGCAGTAGCCAAGGCTTCTACCATCTAGGTCTTTAGCCAGGGGTTTCTAACCATTTTTTATTATCCCCTTAATAAAAAAAAATTATGGCCACTAATCCCTAATAATGTATATTTATAAAGTATATAAAAAGACTATTCTAATATATTATGGCAATTATAAAGCATACATGAAGTATATAAATTAGAAAACAGTTGTATCATACATTTTAAATTGAAATTATAATATTTTCTTCTCTTAACCCAAAGGATCAGGCAGTACACCACATTTAGAGACACAATGGCATCGTTGGCCTTTCCCCTCTAAAACACTCCTATTAGGCACTTTCCACTTTATGGGTACCTAAGTCTAGAGGGAAGTGACAGGGAAGTGGGATAGGCCTGCACACTTGGCCTTTATGGAAGAATCCATAGGGAGTTTCTAACAATAACCAAACCTTAGAAGAGAGATAGCCACTATTCCCAAGACTGAGTGGTACAAAGTGCTCTTGCATACTGATGTGAAAAGGAATGGCACAGAGATATATATCTTCCAATTCAGCTTAACCACTAATCCCACCTCTTCTTCATCTAAACCCAATTCAATCAGAGTCAAAAATCAAACTGGCAAGAAGATCTGAACACTGTTTTTCTTTCTTGTGCCTGAGCGTAGTGGTTGTGTGATGTTGGGCAAGACATTTAACCTCTGTGGTCCTCATTTTTCACATAAACATTGGCATTAGCTTTGAGAATGATTAAGAATTCTTCTAGGCCAGGCGTGGTGGCTCACGTCTGTAATCCTAGCACTCTGGGAGGCCAAGGCGGGCGGATTGCTCAAGGTCAGGAGTTCGAAACCAGCCTGAGCAAGAGCGATACCCCATCTCTACTAAAAATGGAAAGAAATTAATTGACCAACTAAAAATATATATACAAAAAATTATCTGGGCATGGTGGTGCATGCCTGTAGTCCCAGCTACTTGGGAGGCTGAGGTGGTAGGATCACTTGAGCCCAGAAGTTTGAGGTTGCTGTGAGCTAGGCTGATGTCACCGCACTCACTCTAGCCTGGGCAACAAAGTGAGACTCTGTCTCAAAAAAAAAAAAAAAAAAGAATTGTAGACATAAAAATCTAAAGTTAAAAAAAAATTCTTAAGAAGTTAATTTTCTTCATCCTGGTTGACTCAAATGTTGGATCTGATATAATGTCAAATGTGAATCATTAATTAAATGCACTGACGTAGAAAAAAAGCATGAATGTGTTTGTTGACATTTACCACTTGCCCCGCCCCTCATATAACAATACAATAGATGGTTAATGTATTCATAATTGAACCAGACCAAAAAGATGAGGTACCTCTTTTGAGGAACATCAGGGCTGACTCTGGGTAAGAAACCTTCTTCCCCTCTCTTTCTCTGCAAACATAGACACAATCACTGACACATACCTGCAAATGCATATGGAAATCAAATAATGGCATACTCTAAAGGGAACAGACAGCATATGTACTTCAAAGAGAACTTGGTGTAAAACAATGTTAAATATCACAGTGATTTTTAACTGGTTGTTAAGCACACAGAATGAAACAAGATAAAGAGTTCTGGTGGAACTGGGTTTTAAAAATAAGCTCATTTTGATCCACAGCAGATGACTAAGCAAGGCACAGAGAACTGAGGTTCCAGGCCCCTTCTACCACTCCCTAGCAGTGTGGATGTTTCTCTAACAAGTTATCCATGTGCTCCTCAGTTTTTTCATCTGCAAGATGGGTATTTAAAATAGAAAGAAGACCACAAATATTATTTCTCCTGGTGAAAACTGAAAATATAAAATATCCAGCAATAGATGAATGCTTAACTATTCTCTGGTACTCAAGGAGCCATTAATCTTATCTTTATAAAAGTTGTGTAAAAAATAAAACTCTTGTTACCATGTTAAATAAAAAAGGAGAACAAATTGTACCTAGAATATTACAAAGGGGGAGGAATATTAAAAAGTATGAAGCCTGAAAAGACAAAGTCATGATTTTCCCGTTGGTTTTTCTTTTCTTTCTTTTTTCTCCTTGGTGCCACATTTAATTTTTTTTTAAATAAAGAACATGTATGCATTTATAAGGAGAAATATACTTAAAAATTCATGGATGCAAAAACAGTTGACTTTTACCCATCCACAAGATGGAAAGGATGGAAGGAGAGAGAGAACCTACATAACTGCCACTTACGCACATTAGCTAGAAAATGGAAGAGCACAGCTCACCATTCTGGTGCTTCTGCTTAGGAAAACGAAAACCTGGATCTCAAGGAATCAAAGCTGAGTATGTTCTTGCCATCTCAAACCCACTTGCCAACCCCCTACAGGCTTCTCAGAACAGCATACTTTGTTTAAATGAATATAAACATTGAAATGCAGTAACACAGTTTACCATGAGATCTACAACCTAAGCCACATGGGATCCACGTATGGTAGATGAAGAATAATTTATGTTAAAAGCTGGGGTGGGCAGCTAGGGGGAAGACAGAATGAATATCCTCAGAGAGGTTAAATCTAAAAAACAAAAATGGAGCTTCCATTTTTCCCTTGAAAGCCTTCTTTAAGGGAATGTAGAATTGAAAACGATTACTTATGAGAAAAGAGCATTTGGGGAAAGTTTTGATATATTCAATTCCCATTAAATGATCATTTATTCCTCCATAGCATGAACTCTTTCTTTAGAAGAAACACTCAGGTACTTCAAAAATTTGAGATAACAGCTTCCCACTGTAGCCCACAATGGAAGAATTTATAAATGGCTCATTATGGATGATTCTAAAAGTCTGAATATATCAGAGAAACTTGTATTTTTTCTTGGTAACTGGGCTATTAGGTAGAATAAAATTTCCTGCTCGGTAATTTGATGAATTCCAAGGGAATTAAAAGACCACCCAGCAGCATCTTAGTGTGAATAATAGTAAGTTAAAAAAAAAAAAGACCAAAGCCAAACCAAGCACCAGCTGGAATAACCCAGAGTGAACGTGTGAGCTCACAGCTGGAGCTTGAATCCAGAAATGGAGCCCTGAGCTCAGGTGGTCTCAGCTCTCATGAAGACTCCTAGGGAGACTGGGCAGGAGCAGGGCTATGCCCAATTCCCCCCACGCACTTTGTTTGTTCCACAGGGGGACTGTGGTCAGGGCACTAAGGACACAGGTGTCTGCAGCACAGTTCCTACCCTCTAGAGGCTGTCAGTCTGCAGAATTAAACAGAAAGCCAACCGACAAAACCCAGCAATGCTAAGTGCTATGAATGGGGATGACAGGGAAGGCCAGAGGAGGAGCATGTTCATGCTCAGAGCACAGTAACTACCTATTCATATATCCTTTATGGTACTGGACAACCTGGCAACCTCACTACACTCTGGTTATTTATAGTTTCTTTTGGAAAGTTCTGCATATGGTTTAGCATGACTGTAATTGGGGTGGAAATGTCACTCAATCATATTCTGAGCGTGCGCGCGCGTGCGTGTGTGTGTGTGTGTGTGTGTGTGTGTGTGTGTAAAGGAAGGGCAACAGGAAAGAGCTGGAGAAACAAGAACCTGATCCGGGCTGAAAAGCTGGGTGCACAGGCATTTGTATCGGCCTCTCCCACTTCTACTATTTGCTTAACTGTGCACTTGATTGACCCCAGAAAATGTTTTGTTTTATTTTGTTATGATTTTTCTTTTGATCCAGTGAAGATAGGTGTAGGAAAATAACATCTCCCATTTCAGGGACAGGACCTTGATCAACTAAGCCAGTCCTATCTCCCCATGAAGTTTGACAAGGAGGCCTGAACACAATGGACTTCGGCGCCCAGTATACCCAGCAATGTGCAAATCCTCATGGGAGCAGGGTGGACATTTTCAAACTCTCGGAAATAGAACAGCAGCATGATGCCACCTAGAATTCTAGTTGGGGGTAAAATAAGTTTGGAGCCTTGAGAATCAAGAGGAGCCTGGCTTACAAATCAGCAGTCAGAATGACCTGGAATCTGCATATCAGGAGTGAGACACAGACAGGAGAGGAAAAAGAGTTGAGAGAGAAAGGGGAAAGCAGCACAGGAGGATAGGTAGGAAACCCCCACAACCAAATCTGGGCTATCATGTGACTTTGCCTCACATGACTTGGCTAACAGATACCTGTCATCAATACACATTAACATCTTTTAAAAAACTGCAGATGAATTACCTTCGCATGGTAAGAACCAGTGGGTGTCCCACTAATGATAATAATCTTGCTCATAAAGCTGAGTACCTTCTATGTATCAGGCATTATACGCACATACATAGTTCAGTTACTCTTCAAAATACCCGTGGGAAATAGATACTATTGCCATTTTCTAGATGAGATGAGAAAACTGAGCCCCAAAGACATGACAGAGCTAGTACGGTCAGTATTTCACCGCAAGTCAGTCCTATGCCTAAGCCTGCGTTCTTCTGTAGCTGGGGTGGGAGAATACAGGGAGCAAAAGGGACTCTTGGCGTCCCTAAGTGCCTCTGACAAAGGAAAACCTGATGGTGTTAAACTCTCCTTACCACGGCAAGGCGCACTAACTCCTAAAAGCGTTCACTAAGAAAATTACCCAAAACAAAGAATTCATCTGCATGTCTTAAAACAGTGCCTTCGTGGTAGGCTGCTGTGCAGGCTGTCTGCCAGGTACACAGTGCCTCGCCAGCCGCTTTCCTTCTGGAAAGCCGCCTTAGTTTGCCATCTCCCTAACCACCACTTGCTCTACCTTTGCAATTAGTCAAAACTCATCAAAACGAACAGAAGTGAGTGAGCTGTGAAACTCCTGTTCTTAACAGTGGGCTGTGTGGTGGGAGAGCACACAGATGGAGTTTCCTTTTTAAATGAAATGTTTTGGCACTAGCCTGTGTTAAGAGTTTTCCCTCGTTTCCATCTGGTTTTAGTATTGGAACGCATACACGAGAGAATGGAAAAAGAAAACTCTGTTGGCGTGCTAAACCACTAGAAAAGCTGAAGTGGCTGACAGCACATCCTCTAAATCCTTGGAGACTAGAACACTCTGCTCAAGGAATGTTGCCACATTATTTTTAAGAGAGCTCTGTTCCTCAAACCCAGCCCTGTCCTGGAGAAAAAATTACTAAGTTTATCTTCTTTGAAGTCATATGGATCCAGGTGTGATCAGCCCTGGGCAGCATACTTACTGACTTTAAACTTAGGCTATTTCACCTGTAAAGCAGAAACAACAACAGAAGGCTGCTGTGAGGATTAAATGAGGTGATACACGTTAAGTGCTCAGTTACCTAGTGTTGGACCCTCAACAATTCACAAGGCTTTAGAAAGACAATTATTATTACCAGTAGTTTTCACAGTAAGACGTCTAGAACCACCCAAGTTCTAAATCTGAAAAAAAAAAAAATTAAAGCATCTACTTTTTCTATTATGCAACTGAAAAAAAATAAGTTCATATGTGCCAGTGTCCCCGTCAGGAGCCTCTGTGAATTTCCCTGGGGAACTAATTTTCTCTCTAAAAGTTAAATATATCTACTAACAGTGTCATTCTAATTGTGAATTTCTTAATGGCCCAGTTATTGGTATACAGGACTTTCACCACCTAGCCAGACCTTAAACCTGTAAGACATCAAAGTAATATCAAGACATGTTTATCAGTGAAGATGTGCAAGTTTGGGATGTCTTCTCTCACACAACTCCTATTCCTATAAGAGAAGGAGAGCAGAGCCTAAGGACATAGGCAGTAGAATCGGACTACATGGGTTCAAATCTTTGTTTTGTTACTCACTAGCTCATGATCTTGGCAAGCTAATTCATCTCTGTATGGTCAGTTTCATCCTCTACAAAATAAGAACAGTATTATTATCCACCTTATAGCATTATCTTAATGATTAAAGGAGTTAATATTTGGAAAGGGTATGGGACCATGCCTGATATAGGAACTCAATAAATACCATTACTACTATTATTATTACTATTATTAATCTCAAGGTGGGCTGGTGCCACCCTGATCATATTGAGCATTGATGGGTGCATGGCAAGTGCTATATTGAAGGTCATTTATAAATGATACTTGGTGGTTAAACTAGTGGGCTAGAAAACATCTCAGAAGAAAACCCTCTTTTAACTTCATGCAATCAACAGTGATTGTTGTAAATGTTTTGACTCAAATCCAACAAATAGTATAACAAAGAATACTGCATTTTTATAAAATTAAAAAGAATGTAGGAAAGCTTATAAAATCAAGGCACTGCAAATCACTTTGATTTTTATTGCATTTTCTTCTAGAGTTAAAGTTTTATATCTGAATTTACATAGCATATCTCTGTAATAAAGAGACAAAAGGCTTACCCTTTTGTATATTCCAAATATAGGAAAGTCTATTAATCAATAACCTCAGAAATATGACAGGAAAACACTGTGTGGGTCAAAAGTGTTCCATGTCTCTATCAATTGTGAAGAGTTAGAAAGGAATCTGCTCCCTAAAAGACAGCCCTCAGGGGGAGGAGGGGATGGGTATAAATGAGATATGCAACATCTGGGGGATGGTCACACTTGAAGCTCTGACTCAAGGGGGAATGGGGGGCATGGGCAATATATGTAACCTTAACATTTGTACCCCCAAAATACGCTGAAATAAAAAAAAATGGAAAAAAAAGACAGCCCTCTCTACCATACCCCTCCTGGGCCAAGTAAGAAGAAACGAGGTGCTGTGGCAACATGAGTATTGCCATGGGTCAGGGATTGGGTGGATGTCTGAGTGTGCCACTTCCAAAATTGTGGCCACACGAGGTCACGACCTCTGAGGAACACTGGTTCCTTCATCTAAGAAATGAGGAACATATCACCCAGCGGTCAGAGATGCTGCAGGGATTGACTATAATTAAAACAAATAACATGCACAAGATGATTGCTTTTTTACTTTCTTTCACATAATTTTCTAAACATTTCTTACTTTCAGCAATATTTACTTGAATAATAAAGAATAAATATGCAGCATTATTGTAGTTGTTTTGCATTTCCTCTCTCACTGCTAATACCTTTGTACACCTCTGATATCAGTGTGAATTTCTTTATTTTTCCTGGACAAAAACTCTTGGGAAGTCAACTCACCACTGCTCAATAAGCCATTTCTATGATGGCCAAATCTCATCTATCACATTCTCCTCTCTCTTCTAATATTTACATACTTTGAGATGAGAGCCAGTCTGAATTAGAAAGTAGATAAGAATTCTTTCTTATGCCACATTGCTGGCAATTAAATCTGGGCACCCTAATTCCAGTAAAAAATAGAATTTTCTCAAACCCTCATATATGTTTAAATGTTAATATAACCTGAATTCCTTCCTACATGATATGAATGGAATAATGATGAAATTTCGTATAAAACTTTCAAGGGGCTTCAGAATCCTAGAATCTCAGAGTCCAAATGAACCTCAACTCTAACTACTCTAAACTTTTCAACTAAATAAATTAAAGCTCAGAAAAATGCAGAGGTTTGACAATAGCCAGATGACAAAGAAGAAGCTAAAAAATATTTTGTAATAAAATTGAGTACCCAAAATACATTATGTCAAATGTTCCAATAAGACAACCCAGAGTATACCTCCCCCAAAATAGTGAAACTTCTCAACCTTAGCTTCAGAAGTTCTTGCATAAACTTTCAAAATATAAATAAGCTTCTGCACTACCCCTGGTACTGCATTAGTAGAACTATGGTAGAATCAGGCCATCTGAATTTTGAGAAACTCTACAGGTATTCTAAGGGACATCTAGAGTTGAAAACCACTGAGATAAAGGGCAGTAAAACCAGGTTCCACAATCTTAATCCATGTCATTACCTTCTTTGGGTACCATTTACATAAATTACTTCATCAAAGAGCATTCAGAACTTTTAAAAGAAAATTTTGCTTTCTCTATAAATCTTAAATCATTTTGAAAAGATTTAAGATTTTCTGCTTCGACAAAATATGTAGAAGAATGTACTAATCACAAAAATTAAAGTTCCCACATGCTCCTTCTGTGGGGAAAAGTAGCAACCAAGGAAAGATTTTTATCCCTTTATGGATATGAAGACTAGCATCATATATTACACATACAGAATTAAAATGGGAACAGGAAAACAGATTTTAAACATGAAATTACAGAATGCTCAGTAGGTAACTGGACTCTAATAATAAACTGATTTTAATGTAGCATGTTTCTAGTTTAGTTGTATAGACCCAAATTACCATGAAGGGAACAAGTGACTTATAGAAATTATTATGGGTGGGGCTTGCTTTACACTTTGGGTTAACAGTTCTCAGTTATAAATAAAGTCTACACTATAATCAAGTATGTAAGTAAGCAAAAACTCAAATAGCATCTTCCCCTAAACATCTATTGTGTCTTGACCCAGCAATGTGCCAGGCGCTATAATGAATTCAGAATACATCAGTTCCAGTCTTTCAGCAACCTGTCCATAAGCACAGGTTTATATGATACACAGCTGCTTCTATCTGAGGGTTCAAAAAGGCCATCTGTAATAACTTCTCATACTTATAAAGGAGAGGACAAGTTTCCACTAACTTTATGGGGCAGACTAAAATAAAAGAAGGTTAATAAATTCTTATAATCATCTGCTAGTGACTCTGTAAAATTTTTAAAAATCAATTTTATTGAGATATATTTACATATAATCAAAGGTACCCATGTTAAGTGTGAAGTTTATGGTGTATACATTTTTATGTATACACCTGGGTAATCACTGCTACAACGATTTAACACTTGCACCCCAGCAAAAAAAATCCCCTGAGCTCCCTCACAGTCAGTTCTGTCACTATAGCTTAGTTTTGTCTGTTCTACAATTTCACATAAATAGAATCACACAGTATATAGTCTCTTTTTTTTTCATACAACATAATGCTTTTGAGATTCATCCATGTTGCTGTATACATTGGTAATTCATTTCTTTTCGTTGCCAGGTTGTAGTCCATGGTAAAAATATAAAATAATTTGTTCATTCAACATGTAGATGGGTATTTGAGTTACTTCTGATTTTGGGTTATTATGAATAAGACTGTTACGAACATTTGTGTACAAGTCTTTATGTGGACATATGTTTTTATTTCTCTTGAGTATATGCCTAGGAATGGAGTGTGTGTTTGACTTTATAAAAAGTGCCACATTGTTAACCAAAGTAGTTATATCACTTTTACATTCTCATCAACAAAGTATGAAAGCTTAAATTGCTCAACATACTTGTTAACACTTGGTATTGTATTTTAATTTTAGTCATTGCTGAAAAGAAAAAGTGGAAACCAATGCTTCAAGAATGCTAATTGCAGAGGCATCTTGGTATATAAATCCTTCCATATCATTCAATGTCAATCAGGGAATCCAATGAGAAACATTCAAATCCTATCCCAAATACCATGGCTAAACTAGAAAAATTATTTTTCTCCTTACAGAATTACAGCAAAATAACCCAAGAAAGATCATCTTATTTCCCCCCACTCCAGCACCTTTTTTGGATACCTCCAAAGTACATATAACTCACACTGAAAATAATAAGTCTTACAATTGGGGACCTCTAACTATCAGGTCATAAACTGTACTAGATACTGGAAAAAAAATTCACACAAAGAAACGTTAGTAAAACATACTGGGCATACATAAAACACCCATGCCTAGATGCATACTTTGGCAAGCTTTTAAACTCATGACACTTCTCCCCCACCCCTTTTTTCTTATTTTAATGCTTCATGCTATTTGAAGAGCAGTTAAAAATTATTTGCAGACCTTGCCCTAATTTGGACAAAGTTTGCCTGCTCAAAATGAATAGCTGGTTTTCATCAACCAAACACAAAGCTTAAAGGGCCTGGCCTCCCAGAAAGTGCAGGCAGTTCACACTAATAGCCGGAAGAAGCCTGTCATTACAGGTCTCTGCTTTCACTTCACAGCCTCCTGTGCCAGTTGAGCTACAAAGAGGTCGTTGGTAGACTGAATAGGAGAAAAGGAGGAACTCAAAATCCTGCTTAGTCTTTTAACGAAGCTGCCATTCCCTATGCCTGCAATGCCCTCTCACTCACACA